CCCCCCCCGCCCCCGATCACCCCCAGATGCAGAGAGGCTGCACGCATCCGCTCGATAGATGGTCTTCCTTTTGTGCTTTGGTCATTTTCTTTCTTGCAAAGGAGCAGAGGAAGGAGGTATATTCTACGGGGCCGGGCGGCGCCCCCTGCTCCGAACGGCTGAGCCCCTTCGCCGAAAAGGACAGGGTGGAGTGAGGGCCAGAGGGGAGGGATGTCGCCTCATTCGGGAGAAAGGATGGTAAACTGGATGAGGGGATGGGCGACATACGGGCGGTCGCGCCGGGCAAGGACAGCAGGTGTTTCACAGCGGCCGGCACACTGGGGTCTAAAGAGGGGGACGTGTGCAGCAGCTCGAGATAAAGCGGGGGAGGAGTGAAGGAGAGGTGGGTGGTGGGGTGGCGGACGGGGGGGGGGGGGGGGGAGGGGGCGAGACGCGGAAAAGGTCCCAGCATAGCCCCTGACAGCCCCAGAGCCTCCGTCCTGCCACTCGCCCCCCGGCATGCATGGGGTCGCGCATCAGTCATCCGCGCGCAGGTGGGTGATCCACCGGCGGGTGAGCTCGTAGGTGGAGAACATGATAGCCGCATTGGGGACCACACGCAGCAAATGCGCCCCAAGACCGCCATACATGGAGATGATCCCCTCCTGCTTCAGCATCAGGGAGATGGTGGTCCGGATGTTGGGATAGGGCGGGGGGAGCCCCGGGGCAAGGGGAGGCTCACGAAGACGCGTGCGAATGACCTCGTGGGGGTAGGTGATGATGGAGGCGACCAACTTGGCGGACGCGGCGTTGCCGAAGCTCAGAAGATAGGCTAGAGGGGCCGGGCAAGAGGAAGATTGCGGGACACACGTCAGTCAAAGAGCCAAAAGGGGAGGGAGCGGCAGGGGAAAGCAACGCGCTGCACGGCCGCCGCAAAAGGTATCGGATACATCTCCCTCCCCCTCTCTCTCTCGCTCGCAGTTTGACATACACACACACACACACACACACACGAAGAGACACGCATGCTGACGTACACATCCACTGGGGAACCTCCTGGCCGCTGCGCTTGTCATTGCTACGTTTCTTCAGTGCCTCGTAAATGACAAACTGGATGGTGCTCTCCACCACACCAACGTAGCTGATGGCCAGGCCGCGGAAGAGGGCGCGGCCGCCCTCCTCACGCACGACACGGATGGCGCAGTCGAGGCTGTTCTTGTACACGCGTTTCCCACCGGCGCCCTGAAGTTGCATGCGGGTCTTCACCAGCCAAATGGGCGACGTGGTGGTGGCAACCGTGGCACCGGCACTGGCGGCAGCCAGCATGTGCACCCAGGAGGAGTCGGTCCCGAGGCCACCGCGTGCGTGCGACAGAGACCCATAGTACAGCTTGAAGGCATCATACGAGGCGAAGTAGATGGACCGCGCCGGGATGACACCGATCAGCGAGGGGCCGAGTCCGCGCCACAGGGCCGCCGTGCCCTCGGTCCGCTGGATGGTCACCAGCGCGTGGATGGCCTCGCTGAACTGCTGCCGGAGGAGATTCCCAGTCCGAGCAACCACATTACCATACATGGCTCCGGGAATGGCACCGGTACCGGCAGCGGCAGCCGCGCGAGCCGTCTGCACCGAGGAGGCGCCCACCATACCGGAGCCGGCCTGCATGCGCGACGACGACTGCAGCCGGGTCTTCACCACCTCCAATGGGCAGGTGGCCACCGCGCCAGCCAGGCCAGCCATACCACCGGCAATGACATTGGCCACATTGTCAGGAGCCGGCTTGGCAGGGGCGGCGACGACGGCAGCTGGAGCGGCGACACCGGCCGGCGTGGCGCCTGGCGATGTTGGGGAGCTGGCAGTCGTACTGGGCGCCGACATGGGGGTGGCTCGGAAAAGGAGGGAGAGGGAGGGGGGAGGGGAGGGGGGGGGGGGAGAGGCGACGGGGCTGGGTGGTGGCCGCGAGAGCGCTGGCTACCAGGGCTGATCCGACTTTCAACAGCAAAAGTTAGCGGCCTTCACAATCAGGTGGGATATTTAAAGGGGGAGGGAGGGGGGGGATTGTCGGGTATGTATGTGTGTGTGCGTGTGTGTGCGTGTGTGTGCGTGTGTGTGCGTGTGTGTGCGTGTGTATGCGCGTGCGTGTGCGTGCATGCGTGCATGAAGTAGGTGCAAGGAGGGCAGGAGCGGAGAGGGAGGGGGAGGGAGGGGGAAGATGTACAGAGAGTGGGAGGGGCAGGAGGGGCGTAGGGGATCGGGTCTGGCGTTACCGACGACCGCCCCTAAACCGTGCCGGAAGGGGAGGCTGTTAAGTCCTCCCTACATTCGGTCCTCCCCGCCTC